CACTTAGGCTATAAAGGTATATTCTGAAGTAACTGCTATCAAGTTGATTCTGACGCAAGGTATATCCTAACATCACTCAGTTAACCTCTACCTATAAATGTTAGCTCATGTAGCAAAAGGTCAAACTCTGAGTACAAGAGCAAACTTGATTATCTCTAGCAATGGTAAATGTATTGGGGATAAAACTGAAAGAATGTCCTAGAAATGATAATGCATCCGTGAAGCCCAAAAGAGAGATGTACTTAGGTGTTATTGAATATCTTCATAGAATAGAAGCTTCAAAGCCCTAATTACTTGCTTATAGTCACAAGCAGCAGAACTGCTTATAGGACCCAAATTCCCTGGTTCCCACCCACTGGACTTTCCAGGCACTCCCGGAAGTTCTTTTAATCTCTGAAACCAGAAAACAATATCCAAGTACTTCCTGATCCTCAAGGAAATGAAATCTCTGGTTAATTTACAACTAGCAAATCTTTGTTTGAGGAGGCAGAATTTAACCTTATGCTACTAATTAATCTTAAATGTAAGACACTTAAACACAAGTCCCTTTATTAATCAGTCCTTTAAAAAAATATTTGTGAGCGTTCAAGGCAACTCTTTTATTCTTGCATATGGGAAATATCCTTTGAAACTGGTTATCGAGTTCTTCTTTACATAGTTATTTTGGGGGTTACATGTTTAAAAATTATGTAAGTAAGCTGTGTATCAACCAAGCTGTGCAGCACACAAACAAATACACCACTAATGAAGTTCCTCCTTGGAAACAGGACTCCAAACCAGAGAAGCCCTCAACCAAAAAAAGAGATGTGAGGTCAGTCCAGAAGCTAAAAATGAACTGTCTAAAAGTAGGGTTAACTGAATGAACATGGGAAAGGAGGCAATACAGAGATTTTTTTTTTTTTTCCAATACAGAGATTTTAAAGAGCAAACAAAAAGACATCCGGATGCTCAGAATGCAACTTTGCCAGATGCATATAAGAAACATTAAGAACTTTTAACTTCATCCCCACCCCAGTCAGTCCTGGCGCTTTGGGGCTCGGCTCAAGGGGAGTCCCTCTGGGGCATGGGGGTACAGTGAATGGTGTGACCCTTTGCTGGGCATGCCTACACAGTAGAGTATGCTGGGCCCCTCTAGGGTTTCCCGTATGGGGTCCAATAAATTTTTTCCCTTTTGCTTAAAAAAAAAAAGAACTTGTAACTTTCCCTCAAATTGGCTAATGCTGTGCTGGGAAAACAAACAAAAACAGAGAATTGTTCAAATTCCTCTTCAGATTCAAACAGTTTCAACCCAGAAAATCGCAAACGATCCGTCTCAAGAAAATAGATAACCAGTGTTTTCATCTGTAGGCACTACAGAGCATGCTTGGGGTGAACCTGAAACCCAAGCAGACAAGCTCTCTGACATAGCAATGACATCTGAGTTGTTTCTTCATCTGTTTCCAGAATCGAAGCTCAGTTCTACAAGAAAGGTGCTATTTCTTGAATCCTGTGATGGGCAGATTAAGGAAGAAACAGGTTCTTCTAGCCCCTACATAAAACTATAAAAGTCCTAGACACAAAACAAGTTTGTAACGAATGTAACTGTTGTGAGTTTAAGTCCACACGCTCAAATGCTATGGTCCAGTATTTGAGAAATACAATGATATCTCAGTAGTTAAACACAACTTGTTCCAAATTTGTGTTCGAACACCAAAAAGTTCAAGAACTGAACATATTTCTCACATAAGAAATAACAGAAAACTAAATAATTGGTTCTGTGGGTCAAAAATTCCAATTATAAATTCATTTTTCTGAGACTTAAATAGCCCTAGGTTGTGGAACTAACCCCTAAAACATCTAAGCCCAATAAATGCAACACGTTAAGTATAACAATATACTACAGTAATAAAATTAATTCCGTTTTTATTTTGTTTTGTTGTTTAAAAGCCTGTGGGTTTTGGAAATGGTACAGTAACATGGGATCTTCATTTAAATCCCCACTAGCATTCCCACACAACAACCAAGCGAGCCTGTCTTTCATAGGCTCATGGCCTGGCAATGCCTTTTCCTCTTTAGTAATGATGGTCCTATGGGGCATTTCCCCCGAGAAAAGTCTAGTTTCATCACAGTTGTACACTTGCTGGGGAACAAACCCGACGTTTTCAACAAATTCAGCCACAAATTTATCGACTTCCTGTATATTGAACTGCCCACCCCCCATCCCATGCCTCGCTATACTGTGTACCCTGTTCTCTTTTTGAATTTTTCAAACTAGCCACAGCTGGCTTTGAACACTCCAGGCTGGCTCAGCACTGGCTCCTGCAACATTTCTCATTAAATCACTATGGAAGCTTTCAACCTTCTGGCATATTGCCATCATCTCGACTGAGTTGTTTCTGATTTATCCAAATCAGCAGTAACTTTTTAACCTCTTTGATGGTCTGGGTTCTTTGTTTCACGATGAACAGATTTCACACCTCTAGTTACTTGATTCAAATTTCACAAAGATTTCTTTATCATGGATCTCAGTTTTCCTCTTAGCTTTACTGCTGGTATCACTAACTTTCTTTGAAGCCATAGATACGATATTTGACACAAATAAAGTGTAAAAGAAAAAAGCACTATGTCGAATGTTTTAACACACTAATACAAGCACTATATATTGTCTGAGCGAGAGTGACACTGAGCCCGAAAGGTCGTCATCCTTTGCATCTGCAGCGAGACTTAATGCATGATTCACTCTCAGCCTGTACAGGTTTTTCAAGTTGGATTTTTATGTTCGACTATCAAGCAAAGTTATGAACACTGAGATGGAATTTTTTTCTCCCCAAATTTTGCTGTTTAAATAGTGGAAGGTTCAAACTTGGAATCATTGGACAAGCAAGGTATCACTGTATATATATATATATATGCAGATATATTCTGCATCCCCCTCACCCCTCTCCCATCAGGATGGAACAAGTGCAGCCCTTGGATAAGGGGGCCTCATTTACTTAACTGTTAAGTTAAAGTTGAACCAAGGTCTGGAGTATATCACTAAGCTATTAATTGAGGGAAGAATTTCTCAACTGGGGTAGATTTACATCTTGCCCACCAAATTCCAGAAAAAGATCCCTGGTGGTACAATGGTTACGAGTTGGACTGTGATCTGAAAGGTCAGCAGTTTGAAATCACCAACCTGCACAGCAGGAGAAAGACAGGCTTTCCACTCCCCTGGGAAGAGTTAGTCTCAGACACCTGCAGGGGCAGTTTTCTACCCTGTCCTCTAGGGTCACTATGGGTTGACATCGACTGGATGGCAGAGAGTGAGTTAGGGAAAATTCTAGAAAAACAAAAAAGAGGAGAGACAGCAGGTGTTCCCCAATCTTCCCTGGAATTAGTTTCGTTACTATCCTATCGCCTACCTGTCTTTTCCATATACAATCGTTCATTAGCACCGTTCCCCCCCAAACCTGCCACATCTCCACTCCATTCACCTCAAAAACAGAAATAAGACGATTCAAAATGTTCAAACCTCACGCACACATCCATAAATGTACTTCAGCCTTCTAACAAAAATGTGAGCTTACTATGTAGCAGGCGGAGGGATTTAAAAACAACAAGAGTAGATTCTGATGGGACTCAGATTTTAACATCAGCACTAATGGTATAACATCAGTGCAAACTCAAAGGATAGTCTGTGGGTAATAAGAGACAGAAGGCCAAGTGCTCCTAGGAAGGGAAGACAGGCTGGGGCCCCGAGATTGCAGGACCCTAAATGATTTCTCTGGTACCCAAAGTTCAACCTGTCCTGCACTCACATACCAGACTTATTATAAAATTCCAACTTCAGAGAGTCTCCCATCCACTCAAGAAAGTTACACAAAATCCTCATTACATCACATCTAGTTGAAACTCTTCCATTTAAGTCTTCTTTGAACTAGCTTCATTTACCTGCTCGACTTTTTTTCAAGCTCAAACTCTCGCTGGCCAATCCCTTTAGACGGTACCACACCTTCCAATTCAACTCGAAAGTCCCCGGGCAGCCTCAAAACAACAATAACAAAAAGGTTTCTTTGTTATCAGTTTACAGATCCCTTAGATTTCAAGATATCCCTCCGGAACTCGGCCTTAGCTCAACAAATGGCAAGTATGGTCCCAGGTACTTGAACACTGCCGTCTCAACCCGATGCTCACTTTCCCGGCCACCCCTTAATTAAAGCAGAAGTCGCGTGTTCTTTGAGGATAGGGGAGAGGATTTGGATGACTGCAACCTGAAGGGGAGGAAATGGAGAGGAGGAAGGGAGAGAAGGGAACGCCCGGGTAGCGTACTTCGGACTATTTTCTTTAGGAGCAAGGTGACGATGAACGAAGAGAAGGATTCTTTACGGACAGAAGGCCAAGTGCTCCTAGGAAGGGAAGACAGGCTGGTGCCCCGAGATAACGGAAGTGTCGCCCATCATTTGCAGGAGAAGGCAGGTTCCACGTGCAACAAAGAGACTGGGAGGTAGAGGGGGTGAGGTTATGTAGATCCTGGCATCTCCGAGGATCGAGGGGTAAGGAACTACGGGCACACGGCCCGTCCTTTAGGACCGGAGGCGAACGCCGGGATGCGGTTGCCAGGAGGGACGAGGTAGGTGTCTTAGAAAGCTCAGCGGCGAACGTTGTTGAGGCACTGCTTCTATGGGGGCGAGGAGGGGTTTCTGAATAAGACTCTCTCGCAGGCAAGTGCTCCCGGAAGAAGAAAACCTTAGGGCGTCGAAAACACTACAGCGTCAAGCTGCCGGCATTTCCCAGCCCCAGCCCGGATTTCCCCGCACACTCACCGCGTCCCCGCTACACGCCGCCGTTCCAGCTGAAGCTACCGGCCCGCGCAGCCGCACTTAGCGCGCGCGCGCCCCACGTGACTCCCGCGGCCCGCCCCGCGCCCCACGTGACCCGCGGAGCCTATCACTTCCCTTCTCACTCGCCCCGCCTTCTTCTAACCGCTCCTTCGCGTGCGTCCTCCGCCCCACCCCGTTTCCGCCACGCCCCCGGCGAAGATGGCGGCGCCCAGGTGTATTCGGGCCCTGCGTGGCTGCGGCGCGGCCCGGCGTTCGGCGGGTCTCGTCCTTCTCGCCTCTCAGCGATTCTGTTCCGCCGCGGCTGCTTCGAGGCCCCTGGATGCGCAGCGACTGGCGGAGAGGCTCCGAGCCCAGAAACAGGAACAAAAGAAGGAGTCGGTGAGTTGAGAAGGGGCCCCAGTTTCCCAACGACTGCACGCTTACGGGCTTTTCCTGACGGAAGGTGGGGTGGCAGGTGTGTCGGACAAGGATCAAGTAAATGTAGACACGTGGAGGGAAAGGGGAGAGCAAGGCGGCAAGGAATCGTCCCGTGGTATTTGGACCCACATCGATAGCCCGGAGAGACAGTCACGCCTCCGTCCTCAAATTGCTCTAGAAAGGGACGAGTCTAATAGGACTTACAGTCATTAGTTCCCACCCACACTTCACTGAAGGCATCCCCCACTTCTTTCCCCTACTCTAAAAAGCCCCCGAACTGCTGTCGAGTAGTTTCCAATTTACAGCGACCCTTTGAGACAGAGTAAACCCGCTCCTTAGAGTATCCAAGGCTGTAAATTTCTACGGAGTAGAAAGCCTTCTCTTTCCCGCGACCTTGTGAGCAGTGTGGCACCTACCCTTCCCACCAGCCTCCCTTTCTCCCTCCCCACCAGGTACCCACCAGCCCTGTCCAACGGAGGGTGCAAGAACTGCTGCGCTTCACACAGCAGCTGCAGCGAGTCCACCCCAACGTGCTTGCTAAGGCGCTGAGCCGAGGGATTCTGCACCAGGACAAGGACCTCGTGGTTATCAATAAGCCCTACGGTGTGCCTGTGCATGGTAAGGACCTCGTGGGAAAGGGCGGGGGGCTACTGCTGCTTTGGGCCCCAACTACAGGCAGTCCTGGTACATTCGTTGTGGGGCGCTCCTGCCCCTTATATTCAAAATTGGTTAAACTTGTATAGAGCAATATTCCACCTAAAGCTTTTTGGGGACACAAAGATAAGACAGAATCCATTTTCCAAAACCAATTATAACTTGAATCTGTGTGTAGAGTAGACTGCAGTGAGGTCTATACTACTACTATGCTCACTACCATCTTGGACAACAGAACTGCTGCTTGGTTTCTGAGCCCAGACATCTCTACAGAGTAGTAAGTCTCATCTGGTGGTTTCAAACTGCTGAGGTTGCAGTTAGCAGCCCAACTCGTAACCCACTAACTCGTAACCCACTTCACCATCAGAGCTAGTTCCTGGGGACTGCAAATGCTGTGATCCTTGTCTTCAGGTAGGGCAACAGTTCTCAACCTTCTTAGTGCCGCAACCCTTTCATACAGTTCCTCATAACTGTCATTTTGCTACTGTTATGAATCAGGTGACTCCTCTGAAAGGGTCGTTCGACTCCCAAAGGGGTCACGACCCACAGGTTGAGAACCGCTGAGGTAGAGAGAGAGAGAAAGAATAATAAAAAAAAACGAGGGGACTTCAAAAGTTTGAAGGAAAAATGGAATGCAAAGTTAAAGGAATTTTTCCATAATTTTTTATTCGCACTCATCTATATCGAATATATGCCACAAAACCCCAGTGCCTGGAACTTAATGGACACTCAAAGATATTTCCATAAGTGTTAACTGTTCTTGTCAGAGACTGGTGGGATGAGTCGGAGAAAGATATGTGTAAAATGCATTTGTAAAAGGGTTCTTCAGAATAAAAAGGCATAGTTGAAGTAGATGAAGGGTCTGGCTCTTAGAGGTGTGGAGAAGGTTAGGCATGAAGGTAAGGAATTAAATCTGTTGTGACCAAGTGCTTTGTATGAATTTTTTTTCTCTTATTCTCCACAGAAATTTCTTGCTTTTCCATACCATATCAGGCAGTTATTATCCAGATATTTACATTTTATAGGTGAGAAAATTAAAGATGGGAAAGGTTAAGTAATCTGTCCAAAATCAAATGGCTAGTTGGGAGCACACAGAATAGAATCCAGAAATGCGTAACACCAAAGATATCTTCTTATCCACTCTTCCTTAATGCCTTAGGAGAACCCTGTGGTTTTACATTATTCACCCAGGTTTACTTGCAAATTCTCAAGCTTCTGCTTATATAGTGAAATATATGAGAAAGCTACATGTCTTAAGGCTGTGCTTCTCAAACTTCAATGTACTTATGACAGCATCTTATTAAAGGCTGAATGTAATTTAGTACTTGAGGTTGGGGGTCCTGAGATTGTATACCAGAAACCAACCTAACTCACTGCCAGCAAGTCAGTTACAACTCCGCATTCCCAGAGGCTAGAGTAGAGCTGTTTCATAAGGTTTCTGAGGCTATGAATCTTCCCAGGAGCAGAAAGCTGCATCTCCCTTGGAGCAGCTGTTAGGTTTGAACTGCTGACCTTGTAATTTTTGTTAGCGCCCCCCCCAGCATTTGCTCCACTATGCCACTAGGACTCCCTTAAACTCTGTGCCAGGAGATATCAAAATGTTTATGGACAGGTTCCATTATGCTTTAATTTGTTTTTTTTACATGAAAGTTTTGAAGTCCTCTTGGATCTAATAAGCTCCTTGAGCAGAGTGATGCTACTAGTTCCCAGGAGCATGCTTCAAGTAGCAAGGCTATAGAGCACTTTAAAAATCAAGCAGGGCGCTTTGCCCGTAAGGAGACCACTTTGTTGGGGTCTTGGCTTGGGCACTCAGACCTCCGGCTTGTCCCATCTTAGGTGGTCCCGGCATCCAGCTCTGCATCAGCGATGTCCTGCCGGTCCTTGCGAAGATGCTGCGTGGCCACAAGGCAGAGCCCTTGCATCTCTGTCACCGGCTGGACAAGGAAACTACGGGTGTGATGGTGTTGGCTTGGGAGAAGGAAGTGGCACATCAAGTACAACAGTTGTTTAAAACCCGCCAGGTGGCCAAGAAGTACTGGTATGAGACCCAGCGGTGATGGTAGATGAGATAATTTATTGTGCCAGCCTGGCCGAACAAAGGCATCCCCTTCAAACATCCACTTATATATCAGGAACTCTTAGTCATAGAAGGCTAGAACCTGTTGGGACATAAGAAGTGTGTGAAACAATTTTTGCATTTGCTGATAAAATCATGGTTCGTGGATCTTCTGACTGTACATCAAAATGATAAAAAAAATTAATTATACAAGTGATAGGATTTTATTCCTATGGTAAAAATTGTAAATGCAAAAGACCCTTATCTCCCCATTCTAACCCCTCTCTTTTAAGGTAGCACCCACTATTAACTATTTAGTATTTATTCTGATCGATAGTGCAGTTACATTTGTGACTATTATATACAGCAAATCTCTGTATTGTGTATAGAAACCACATTGTACAATGTACATTGTGCTTTATTTTCCTACAACTATATGTCAAGGATCTTTCTATGTCAGTACATATAGATATGCCTCAGTTTTTAAAGTAGGAAACATGAGCAAAAAGTAAACTGCAATCAGTATGGTGTGTCTGAGACTGCGCATCTTTTTGGATAGCTTCATCTTTCACCTTCAGAGCAGGGGATGGGTTTGAACCGCCTGCCTTGTGATTAATAGTACAGTGCTTACCTGCCGGTACCGTGAGTTCACCTGAAGGAGGCATAACCCTAAGGAAAGGGTAAACAATAGTCTTGCCTGTCTGTGCTGTAATGACGGAACTTCCATCAAAAATGATTCAGAATGAGGTCTGAGTCGCCATTTATTCTTGAGACGTCTTTGGGGCTCATTTTTTTCTGGAAAACAACAGGGGTGTTCCTGTAAGTTTTTACTTGATTCATTCCTTTACGTATTCATGAATTCATTGATTTAGTATGCAACCAGGACCGATCCTATATAGTATTGGGAGGGGAAAAAATTCAGGATACAAAACAGTCCTATGTTTAACTCAAAATGTAAGCATCCATTTTTGAAGGCTAGAATGAAAGACCAACTTATGAATATAACTTTTTTGTTGTTTTCCTGGTCTCCCCCCACCAATTGCTTGGCAATCAATTTTTGCATTGCTTTATAGCAAAAAAGGTTTGTAAAAAAAGTCGCAAGCTCGTAGGCTGAGAGAATCATTTGGGACCCATTGATCCTATAGTTCTGGGTTTGATCCTTTGCACCGCCAAATCCAACCTGCTGTGGCTAAAGCATGGGTTGGTATCACCCTCAGGGCCATCACTGTGCGCGTCCCCGTGCCCTCAGCAGGAGTTGTTGACATCCCCATCATCGAGAAGGAGGTGCAAGGCCAGAAACACCATCATAAGGTGGGTGAGCTGCTCTCTGGCAGGGTGGGTTTTCTGTTCTTCCTTTGAAATAGCTGATGTCTCTGGCCTCAGATGACGCTCTCCCCGTGCTACCATATGGACAATGGGAAGATGGTGAAGGCGCGGACCAGCCGGAACGCACATGTCGCTGTGACTCAGTACCAGGTGCTAAGCAGCACTCTCTCCTCCTCCCTCTTGGAGCTCCAGCCTGTCACCGGTAAGGGGGCTGCCAGTCTGCAGTAGGATAGCAGATGCTCAGTGCATTTGAGCTTTGTCCAGGGCCTATGTTGGGTCTTCTCTTGTCTGGAATACTGGTATTTGGACGGGCTGGGATTGCAGTTGACTTGTTTGACAATGTTTCTGATGTTAACCCAAGGCTGGGAGCTCCTGTAGTGATGACTATTAAAAACAATCAATAGCCAACCCACCGACAAGTCGATTCCAACTCATATCTTCTATAAAGGACAGAGTAGAACTGCTCCTTAGCATTTGCAAACTCCAAAAACTCACTGCAATCAAGTAAGTTCTGACTCATAACAACCCTATAGGACAGGATAGAATTGCCCCTGTGAGTTTCTGAAACAGTAACTCTCTTTTTTAAACCGTGACTCTTTACAAGGGCAGAAAGCCTTGTCTTTCTTCTAAGTAGCTGCAGGTGGTTTCGAACCACTCACCTTGCGGTTAGTAGCACCATGCATAAGCACTGAGCCACCAGGGCATGTATTGGGTTTCCAAGTTGCAAGCTACCTCCTCTCTCCCAAGGAGTGCTTAGAGTCACAGCCCAGTGCATAACCTACGTACCACTAGAGCTCCTCAATAGCTAGCAGAACGATATAGGGAGGCTTCAGAAAGTTTATGGGGAGATTTCATTATCTTTTTAAATTTTTTATTGTTTTTCTTTTTAAATTTCATTGTCTTTTAATTCAACTTTTTGGAGCCTCTTTGTACAGTTTGATTACATTTTAAAATGTGCAAAGCAGTATTACTTATCATTACCATCGTAGATTGGGTTCTCTAGTGAAGCAAAGCTAGTGACATACCATATTTACTCGAGTATAGTAAAACTGGAAAAAACCCCAAATACAACAAAGTATAAAGAATAACATTAGAAAGAATCGTCTATGTAGCACCACCTCCCAACGCAATCACCTTCTTTTCCACTATGAAAACTATTACCCTAAACTTGTTCTCTATTATTGCCATGGTTTTAAAATAATTATTTTACTCTCTCGTTGTGATGGTTAATCTTATTTGTAACACTTGGCTAGGCCATGGTTCTTAGTATTGTGTAGTTCTCCATTATTGTGATTTGTGTCATTCTTGTTTAACATTTTATAAATCGCAACCTCTATTGTAATAGGATTAATATAATGCATATGCATGAGTGTTTATATATGTGGCAGGATTACTCTGGTATTTTGAATCAGTCTTATAAAAAGACAGACTCCTGGACACAGATGATGTATGTACAGATTGTGATGAGTTGTATGAGCCCCTAATAAAATGATTATTTTAAAAAAAACAAGACAGACTCAAATCAACTCGTGCTTTGCTATAAAAGGAGTTTCCTTGAGGAAATATAATACCTAATATATATGAACACTCTGGTAAACTTTCCCCTGCTTTGGATCTTGCAGTGGGCTTGAAAACATCTGCTCTCTGATTTGATTGAATATGATTCGAAGTTGATAACAGAAATGGTATTTTTTCCATGACTTCTCTTAAATTTCCTTTTTCTTCTTCCTTGTTTGTTTTAGGCGTAAAACATCAGCTTCGAGTTCACCTGTCTTTTGGACTAGATTGTCCAATCCTTGGTGATCACAAGTACTCAGACTGGAATAAGTTGGCCCCGCAGGTAATCCTGATTTGACCCCATGTGCCAAAGAATATGAGGAAGAGCTTCAGGGCTTGTTTTTTTCAATACAGAAATAGATCTGCAGATATGACAACTCGGTTGGTTATCTGGCTTTTGGAGAAATACAGAAGCAGTTACTGTTACCCTGGAGCTGCTGGTTCTGCTAGAAAAACCCCTCCGCTTCATTTGTGAGGGAACAGTGGGTGGGAGAGAAATCTTTCTAACAGCTAAAGTCAGCCTTTCGTGCTACTGCTAATGAACCAAGGTGCAATCTGTTTCATTCATTGCTTTGTTGCCGCCTGTTCTTCTGTAAGAGTCTCCCCGGTGGTGTAGTTTTCCTTCTTTGGCATGCCCTAAAGAGGGATGCCATGGGTGTATTTCCCAGGGAGCTTAGATGGTTTCCTGTTAGTGGACTTCTTCGCACCCTGCATACCAGACAGAAAGAACCCTTGGCATTGCTCTGAAGGATCTATTTTTTCTTTGTGTAGAAGCTGTGTGTTGGCACCCTAAAGAAGCTGGGGCTGAAGCAGTCAAAGGCCCGCCACATCCCTCTTCACTTGCACGCCCGGCAGCTGATCATTCCTGCACTGGGGTCCAGGAATGAGGACCTCACCTTGGTCTGCAAGCTTCCTCGCTTCTTTGTGCGTTCCCTGAGTCGCTTGGGCTTAGTGGTGCCCAGCAAGGATCAGAGTTGACGAAGCAGGGCACTTAGAACTGTGGCGAATGTATTGGGCAGTTTGGACCCAGAGCGTGTCACTTTCCATAGTGGAGAATTAAGTTGGCATTGGTGACTGATAGCTTCGCATTGGGAACAGACTAGAAAAATCAACTGTGATAAGTTGAAGGAGCTCACTTTAGGGCATACAGTGGAAAATAAAGTCTACTTCCCAATCATTTGGCCAAGCTATGGGAGTTCCTAAGACGTGTCCCTGCCTTTAAAAAAAACAACAGAAAAACTTTGCCATCAGGTCACTTCTGCCTCGTAGCAACCCTAGCGTGTAGACAGAACTGTCCCTTTGGGTTTCTGAGGCTGTAAATCTTTACAGGAACAAAAAGCCCCATCGTTTCTTCCCCAGAGTGGCTTGTGGGCTCAATCTGCTGATCCTTTGATTAGCAGCCCAACTCATAGTCTCCTAAAGTTTGTTGTTGTTTTCCCTGACGTAGGATATTGACAAAGAGAGCAGTAGGCAGATGGGACCGTAATTGGAGAAGGAGAACTAAAACAGAATCCACGGTGGCAAACTATTCATCCAGTCGTAAAGCTTTTTACATTTCAAGAAGGGTCTCTGTGTTGGAAAGAACATATGTGCAAACACATCATGGGATCCAGGGAGTTTGTATAGCTATAGCCTGAGGCACTGTTTGCTGTGCAGCCTGTGGAGGGGTGTTTGAGCTGTGGAATTTGGATAAGCAAGGGAAACATACATAATAGCCAGATGTAAACAGTTGTTGGGCACAAACACCAGAGCTCATACAGTCTAAAGAGAGGGATTGTTCGCTCCAGTGGTAGTTGTCATGTGGAGTTTCCTGTGTCTCCAGAAAGGTAGGGAACTGAGACATTGATGTGAAATCTCCCAGTATATGTATTGCCAGATAAAGTCAAATGAAATCCAAAAGGCTTTTGTCAACTAAGGAGATGGTAGACCCAGATGGTACACTGATGTTTTGGGAAAGGTGCCATCATTAAAAGTTCTAGATTAGAAATTGGCATTTGCCTTTTGTAGGGCAGGGATGGCCAGTAAATGCAATTGTGTGATTTTAAGGATTTTGCCTGTTTGTCTGCTTGTAAGTATATATATGAGAAAACATTTACCATCTCAACGGGCTGTTGCTACTGTCTTGATCTTTTTGGGGAAACAAGGCTCCTGACCTTGGGTTTACTGCTCATTGAGCCAGTGCGCCCCATCTTGTTTCTTGGGAACAGGTATGGGGAGTGAAGACAGGCTGACAGCAGCAGCAGGAAAGCTCAAAGTCAACATCTGTACTACGGGGCTCCAAAAAGTTCATGGAAAAATGAAATGTAAAGATAAGGGAAATTTACCACAAACCTTTTGACACTTCCTTGTGTGCTGTCTTCATTGACAGCAAGGATCTCTGATGGGGCAGTGGTTACGGACATAACTGGTAGATCAGTGGTTCAAACCCGTGACTAGCTTTGTAGCGAAAAGATGTGAGTCTGCCTCTGTAAAGATTCCTAGCTTTGGAAACCCGATGAGGCTGTTCTACCTTATTGAAAGGGTGACAGTGAGTGGGAATTGAATTGACAGCAATGGGTTTGGTTTTCGAAAGTGGTAACATTTTCCCTAGCCCCTGCCCTGTTATTCTCAGTGCATAATGGTTGAAGCACAAGTGCAATAACTATACCTGTTGACCTCAGGCCTGGGTTCTCTAAATTTATAATTGGAAAGTGATTCCCAATTACAGAATTTGGCAAGTCCAGGTTGAGCAGCTTCCAAGTCTAGTGGGAATGGGTTGGGGGGCGGGGGTTGTCAGATATTGAGCTAGAGGCATCTCCTGACTTGAGTAGCTGAGGGCTGGTGAGGGCAAGAGGAGCAGGGAGACAACAGACTGGTGGCTGCAAAGGTGAGTGGCCCTAATGGCAGTGTGGTAGTTACAAAACCTGGTGTCCGTTTGAGATGATCCCGAGTGAAGGGGTGGAGTCTGGCTTGTCAATCAAGATATAACTAATGAGGCCTCTGTGCAGGCATGGTCTTCTAAGAATTCTGTGGTCTGCTGTATTTTCCTCCTTGGAGGCAGTAGACACTTCTCTCTCGGCTTACTCCCTGTGAGACACCCCTGTGGAGAAGGCACATGGAGAGAGGCTGATGGAGCCAGACCTCGAGCTGGAGAAGCCACATGGAAAGCCCTGCCAGCACTGAGATGCTTGCAGCGCCACTGGATCTTTAAACTTCCAACCCATTGGCTTGTGATCTTGCATTCGGCATATTGCATGAGTTTTGTGAGTCTGAAGAGGACTTTATAGATTGGTATCAGACATGGGCTAATATCGGAGTTATAGATTTGATCTGGCTGGGATGTTCTCAGTGTTCAATTGCTCTTGTATATAAATCTCTTCCTTATATACATATGAGTGTCTGTGGATTTTTTTCTCTAGTCTATCCAGACTAACACAGGCAGCAAGTCAGGTGATAGGCCACTGATGACACGCAGTGTGGGAGGCCATTGGCTTGAGTCCAGACAACCCGACTGTTAGGCTGGGTTCTCTAGAAAATCAAAACCAGTAACATAGATGTATTAAGAACTTCATATCAAGGAAGCAACCTAGCCCAGTTCAGCTCAAGTCCATGAGTCATCAGGAGGAGCCCTTCCCAGACTCACGCACCGGCAGGCCAATGTAGTAGGCAGAAGTGGGAAGCAGGGAGATCACAGGCTCGTGGGTGCAGAATTGTGAGGATCCAAGGTCGCAGGAATGTGGCAGGGTGCCGACAGCTCCCTGAACCAGAAGGTCTTGGGCTGCCACGAGCCAGGTACAGAATCCATCCAGGCAGAGAGCAGCGAGGTCTCTTAGAACAGGGCCACATGCCAACGTGATGTCACCAGGGTGCGACCCGATTGAGAGGTCACAGTGATAGCGCTCAGCTCACTGCTTTCAAGTCATTGCCGATGCAGTCGCCTCTAGGACAGGGTAGAACTGTCCTTGTGGGCCTCTGAGACTAACTCTGGGATTAGAAAGGCCCATCTTTCTCATGCTCTCACTGCCATTTCTAGTAAACCAGGTTTATCAAGCTAAGATTTCGCAACCTGACAGGAACTAGTGATCACCGACTTGAGTCAGGGACACAGTGGGGAGCAGGTGATGTTCCAAGACAAGTTATGCCTGCAAATTTTTGAAAAGGAGCGAGTCAGAGCACATTTAGAAAAGTGCCCTGGGATTTGTATCCTCTGGTCTCTGATGTGGATCTGTGTATTGTAATCTGCCGCACAGTGATTGGTATCCGGTGGAGGTGCTGGGGCTTCTCAGGAGCTTGTCATTAGCTGGGACTAATAGGATTAAGGAAACGAATGGGGGCCAGCAGTGCCACTCCCGAGGCTGGTACAAGAGATGACCTCAGGACTGGGTGTGTCCTGTTCATGCTGCTCAGCCTCTTCTTGAGTGGCCATTCTTCATGCATTTTTAGCTCATCATGCTAGGCTTTATGTTGGTTGCTGAGATCCATGCTACCAAGCTAGTCACAGCTTTTTGAAAATTCCTAATCTACCCTGGACATGGTCTATACCCTGGAGACTGAGACAGATACCTGCTCTGCTTCTCCTTCCCACACCTCTGATGCCAACGACAGCAGTTGGCAAAGATCTGGAACAGCCACCTAAAAGAGTGGGGAGGTGCCAGAGGAGGCTGTTTGATTTTCATTAACCAAAATGAACTAAAAGAATATATTGTTTGTTCAACTATAAAGAAACACGATCTTGAAATTTTTACATTGGAAATATTTATTTGAAACGTGAAATGTCCTTTTAAAAATTAAAGCACACCACAAAACTTCAACTATTCTGTGATGTAGTTCCCTCATTGCAATGAGTTGCCCACTGAGATGATGGGAGAAGAAATGGCAGCTCCTTGCTGCCGTGTGGGCTAAGAAGGAAGTGAAGTGGGAGCCAGCAAGGGCTCAGGGAAGGAGGGAGGAAGTGGGCCCTCACTAAGGAGGAGACTGCGGGAGAGGTGTGCAGGTTTGTCTGTATCTAGATCTGGTGTCAGGGACATGGGTTCTAGGAAGATGCAGAAGGGGAGGAGGCAGGCGCTGCTCATTCATTCCCACAGTTCCTTTGGGATAAGATATTGGCAGCAGAGTTGAGAACACAATCCCTTAGGGTTGTAGCCTGGCAGCAGTCAGCAAAGCATTTCTAGAGAGTAAATATTTTAGGCCTTTGTACATCATAAGGCCCCTGTTGCATCCACTTATCTCTGATGCTACCCCTTGAACACAGCCATAGATGATATGTAATAAACCAATAAGACTGTTCCAGTAACACTTTGTTTATGGACTAAAATCTGAATGTGTGCTTTTCATGACACTAAGTAGATGTTCCCCCACCACTACCACCAAAATGTAAAAACTGTTCTCAGCTCACAGGGTGTTACGAAAACAGGTGGATTTGGCCCAAGAGCAGCTGTTCTACAACCCTTAGTCTTTAGATATCCTGAGCAAATTCCCAGGCATCTCAAACCACCTTCAAGAAGCCCAGGTAGTAAGTAGTCTGCATCCCATGCTGGCGACCTTGTCCCTGGCTGTTTTGATATTAGATAGTAGGCTGGGGTTGTAGGTTATGGCTGGCGCCCTCTGCTGGGCTAGGTCAGAGCCGGCTGCAGAAGCCTAGCATTCAGAACTCTAGGAATCCTTGGGTCAAGGGTCAAAGGATGGAGAAGCACTTCCTTTGACTTTCTGCTTTCTCTTATGCTTAAAACAAGGATCAGATGTTTCTCTCATCCTTAATGGAATGTCACTGTTTCTAATCTCTGAACATTAAAAGTAATTTCACCCCAGGTTAAGGTGGCCTGGGAAGTTGGGACAGGCCTAAAATGAACATCAGCCATTGTGAAATAGTGATTGTGTTGACTCAAAGGAGCCTGAAAATCAAGCTGTTTAATATATAACTGTTTGCACCACCTAAGAACTAGCCAGTTAAAAGATTATATATAAAGTCAGAATTAAAACCAAAATCCACCTCACCACTGCACTCAGGTACAGACTATGTGGCAGCCTGGGCAGCCTCATACCGAGGCTTACCTCTGAGCTGTTGCAGGTTAGAGCTGCCGCCACAGGAAAGCTATTATTAAACAAGGCATAGGAATTCTGTTTCCCAATGCGTCTATACTACACTGTAGTCTGTGCAGTAGCATTATGAAAAAACTAGAAAAACGGAAATACCAAAACGTGCCAGGTGTAAAGTGAGCGCATGGCTTTGGACAAAGGGCGCCAATAGACTTTCTCAATACAGAGTT